TTAGAGAAAATTATCTTATTAATTTATCTTTATTTTCTCTTTTGCTTGCTTAGTTATGAAGATTATATGAAGAAGAAAGGTAAAATCCATACCATCAATTTACCTCAACAAGAAATTTCTTGTTGTTCTTTATAATTCTTTTTTCTATGCTTCTTTTGGAAAATCATATTGCTTTGTTTAACTTGCCTACTATTTCTTCTTTCTTTTCACTTATTCAAATTATAGCTATTTCCATGATATGTCATGTTCATCTATTGTTTATATTCTATTGTTTTTTTTTGTTTTTTTTTGTTTTCTATTTAATTATAATTAAAATTTTTAGATGATTTATATGTTTTGATCTTATATACTTTGATGTTAATTTTTAGATCTTAATTATTATTTTATTAAAAATAAAAAGACAATACAATTTGATTTTGTATAAACTTTTTTCATAACAAGAATATTAAGTGCTTGAAATTGTGGATTTATATATATATATATAATTTTTTGCAGGAACTATTGTACAAATTCTTTATGGTAGAAGATAATCCAAGAGAAATATATCTTGATTGGATCCAAATCTCTTGAGTTGATCAAGCCACATTGTGACACTTGTTTGACAATGCTCACCTTTTGTTCTAATCGGCCCTTCGACTAAATATGTGAGGTCAATATGAGTGATTCTTGAATAATAAGACATTTTGTAAAAACAGTAGAGTTTGGGATAATTATTAAGCCAAATATGACCGATCACAATGAATAAGCTTTTTGATATCATGTCAATGTAACATAGCATCTTTTATATTTGTACCGCGTATCTTGGCCTGTTGGTTGGCAACCTCGGTGTAAGACCCCTCACGTCAGGGGTTCGAATCACCTTTGACATAGTTGGCCTTAAGCAGATGGTAATAAAATTGTTAGGCACATTATAAGTGGCTTGGATGTCAGTATAATAGCCCCTCTCCATACCTTTTTCAAAAAAAAAAAAATATATTTTTTTATATTTTACAATATATTTTTTCAATAATTTACTGTCAAAATGTGATTTGTTTTTGTTCTTTGGTATTGTAATTCACATTTCATTCAATTGAATACAAACGTGCGTGCGTGCACATACACACACAAATATATCTATAAACAATAATTAAATAAGTTATTTAATAAAATTATAAATACCTTCTTAGAATTTATGTGGACTTTTTTGAGGATTGAAGATATATAATATGCTTTAAATAGAATACTAATATATGAGTAGGGGTGTAAAAGAATTGAACACGAACGAACAGAGCTTGTGTTCGTGTTCGGTTCTTTTGAAATTTAGTTTGTTTGAAGTAAGCTCATGTTCGAAATTGTTCGTGAAGTCACTATTCGTGTTTTTTTCTTAACGAACGAGCCGAACACGAGTTGTTCGCGAATGACGAGTCAATTTGACATCCCTAATATTAATATATATAAATAATATATTATATTAATTATATAACTTATATTATATAAAT